GATAGATAGATAGATAGATAGATAGATAGATAGATAGATAGATAGATAGATAGATAGATAGATAGACAGACAGACAGACAGACAGACAGACAGACAGACAGACAGACAAATAGATGATGGATGGATCTCTTCATAAAGTAAATCAGTGATAGCCCAAATCATCATTAATTCAACTCAAAAGACTGCTTGAACAGGAAAGATGTAAAGAACATGTTATGACTCTGAGCTGAGATCCTTTCAACTGATGCTCAGATCTGTTGTTTGTTAAATTCTCTGAGTTTGAAGGATTTGATGAAAACAAGATTATTATTGCTGAAGGATTCATCACCGTTCTCATTTATTATACTGTCTTTTAACCAGAGAATTAAAAGCTAGCAGGGATGGGGAAAAATACTCACAATGGAAGATAATAATTGAGAGTAGGGGGGGGGGAATCCAAATACAGTATAACTTTTGAATTGTGAAAAATACATTCATCCAGCAATCTCTCTGTTGAATCAAGAAATAGAAGCTTGTATTAGCTTGTATGCTTGAACAGATTTAACAGAGCCCCCGCTTGAATCACTGTTTGCTTAGTTGAGATTTTTAATTTGTTTAATTAGTATTTTAAAAGCCTGGGAAAATCTGTGAATGAATATATGTTTGTGTGTTTATGCATTTTCAAGGACTCATACACAACGAATATCCAAATTATGTCTGAATCTGTCATCCTGAGTCTGAGATTAGTTCCAAGAAATCATAATTTTACTAGTGTAAATAAATGTAGTGGAGTATAGACTTTTAAATGTGGCTCCAGCTTGTATACACGTGGTCATGACTCTCATTTTGCAGTCATTTTAATTAAGTCAGACTATAAAGTTAGTCTTGCATGGGGGATAAACACACTGGGGAGATGATGAAAGATTGATGGCTGCCCAGGCAGTAAAACAAGTAACTCTGGTGTTTTCTAACAAAATTGAGATCTATGTACATACAATTGGTCAAGCTTGAGCGATAGTGCATATTTTACCAGTTTAGATATCTTGTTAGTTTATTTGGGGAATCAAGGAAGGGGTCTGGTGTTAGCTATTTCAACATGATTTTCCATTTTAGTTTTTCAGCTTTTTGCTGTGCCTGAATAGCAAGGGTGCCCAAGTCATAAATTTTAATTAATATCTGTATCATTTTGGTTACTGCTAGCTTAGTAGAGCAATTAGTGTAATTAGTAAACAGCATAGCTTGGTGGCATGATAAATCACAGTTAGGAGCACATTGTCTCTTCACCAGGATGATGTATTATCCAATTTGCTCAAATTTTAATGTGTGCCTGAGGAAATCACAAAATAAAAAAAGAAGCATTCCAACAGCTGGTGGTAATCTTTGGTGGCTCTTGGTCAGTCTTCTGTCAGTCTTCCCAAATATTCTTAATTAGTCAAAAATGTCTGCTAATTAAACATTTCATTTTTAACACTTGTGGATGTTATGAATAACTTATACAGAAGGGACAGGAAGAGAATGAAATTTTTGTGATGAGGAAAATTTAAGTTTGCACAACCGCCCTCTTGTAGGCCCCTGCTTACCAGTAGGAGGCATGTAGATCAGATTTCAGTATGTGATACAATAACTGCAAAATAAAATGTTCCATGGAAATTATTGTGTGTTTGAATAAAAAAGCACTACCATCTATTATAGTAGATTTGATAAATACTGTATTCATTAGGTTTATCATCCTCACCACCTCATCCTGTTAGTGAGGACCTCAGGGGTTGCGGAAGACTCAAGCACTTTGGTGAATAGTGGCCACAGGTGTGGAACTAAATCAAGTGTCTATCACTGTACTGGCTGCATGGCTTAGCGGCAATACTGTCAGTCTCCCTTGTCTTCCTTCCAGGACTTGGGACTGCAACAGACAGTGCACCGATTCCTGGACTGGGAGGCCTTGCTCACAGTCATCAATGCTTTAGTCACTTCCTGTTTGGATTACAGCAATGCAGTCTGCATGCAGCTGCCCTTGAAGAGCATCCAGAAACTGCATCTGTTTTAGAATATAGCAGTTTTGGGTGTCCCATGGACCATCTGAGGAATACCACTGCTGTATAAGCTTCTCTGGCTTCCAGTTGCTTTTTACCTTTTTTCAAGGTGATTTACCGCCTTTAAAGCCCTATGTTGCAGAGAGTCAGGTTATTTGACACTTCCTAAGAGTATCTGCCCATATCTCTAGGTTAGATAATGTGGGTGCATTCCGGGTACCCTTCATTAAATTAAGACCTTGAAGGTGCAACTTGTTGGTAGCCACTCCAGTCTTTTGAAACAGCCTCTCACTAGAAATCAGAGGGATCCCTACACTTTTAGCTTTCTGGAGAGCTAGCTCTTTCCCCAAGCATTGGGTTAGGGTAGGGAGGTTGAACTGTAAGGATTTTTGATCTGGTGCCTAGAGAGAAGACTAGGTTTTTAATTACGTTCTATGGATTGTTGTGAGCCTCCTAGAGTGATTGAATGAGATAGGGAGAGATAAATGAGATAACTTCTATAAACAAACAAAAATATTCGACATTTCATTTTATGCAAACATTCTCTGGCCTAATATTTTGTGTGCTGTTAATGTGATAATGTTACATTCTGTATTTTAGAGCCTATGAGAACACCCAAGACTTTGAAAATTGCTGAAATCCAGGCACGTCGTATTGCTGTGGATTGGGAATCCCTAGGTTACAACATCACTCGCTGCCATACGTTCAATGTTACCATCTGCTACCATTACTTCCGTGGCCATAATGAAAGCAAGGCTGACTGCTTGGACATGGATCCCAAAGCACCGCAGCATGTTGTGAATCACCTGCCTCCTTACACAAATGTGAGCCTCAAAATGATTTTGACAAACCCCGAAGGACGGAAAGAGAGCGAGGAGACCATTATTCAGACAGATGAAGATGGTATGTTCAGCTTTATTCCCCCTTAGCATGGTTGATTACTGTGATGTATGTCTCTCCCACCTCTAGTTTTTCATATTTCAAATACTTTATGGATGTTTAAAAATGTCATTTGAGGACAATATTTACTGTATGTAAATATTGTAATGTAAATATCTTGAATCTAGTTTTTTTTAAATCCTTTCTTTTGAAGTGATGTAGTCATAAAGCTCAAAATCACATGACCATACCATACCTACAGTTATTGTTGTTAAGTAAATTTGCAGTTGTTAACACAATGTCACATGACTGTAGCTTGTAAATTCCTGTCCTTTTCTGATTGACTTTGCTTGTTGGAAACTGGCAATGAAGGTTGCAAATGATGATCATATCCCAGCGCAATACTGGGACCATGATAGCAATAGCACTTATAATGCTTTATAGTGCTTTACAGCCCCCACAACCAGTTTACAGAGTCAGCATATTACCCCCAACAATTTGGGTCCTCATTTTACCCACCTCAGAAGGATGGAAGGCTGAGTCAACCTTGAGCCTGGTGGGATTTGAACTATCAAATTGCAGGCAGCTTGCTGCAGCAGAAGTAGCTTGCAGTATTGCACTCTTAACCACTGTGCCACCAAGGCACATCAATGATAATTGCATGTGGGTTGCTAAGCATCCAAATCACACTCACATGACCTCAGGGAAGCTGTGAAACCAGAACTTCAAGGAGCAGTTGTGAGTCTCCTCATTCTGCTTTGTTGTAATTTTGAATGGTCACTGAATGAGAGATTGCTAAGTGACGTTACCTGAATGTACTTTTATGCTGCTCTACTCTCTCAGTAATTACAATTGCATATACTGAGATTGCTGACTTGAAATAATCTTCATTTAATTCTGCTTACAATATAGCTTTATTTATCACACGAGGAAAAATAAAGGATGTTCTAAATATTTACAAAGCTCATTAGTGATTATCTTTATGAATCTTATTTCAAGCAAATTAAAACAAAATTAAACATTCCTAATTAGATGGAAATGATAATATATGAAAGTAGCTTAATTTCATGTAGTTGAGTTTGTAACTAACTACATATGCACATTGCAAATATGCATATTAAAACTGTTGTACACAGATTTCTACATTATATACCTATTTGAAACCCAATTGGGATATCTTATTAACATCAGCAGAGAAGTACAGTAGAAATGCTTTCTTGGAATAAATTCCAGAAACTTGGAACATCAAGGGATTTCAACTAAAGTTAATGTAGTGCCCAGAGAGACAAATCTGGATTTGAAAAGTTAAAAACCAGAAATAAACAGTAAAATGCATTTATAATGATTTATAACAACAATGTCTTATTCGGTAAATCATTGATATTCAACTTTGGTATTCAGAAGCCCAAACTACCTAGAAATGTTAACATAACGGGGAAAAAAGGCAAGCACCTCTAAAATATAGTTTGTCTGACTGGAAACTTATACAATTATTGATATCCCCCCCACCCCCAATGGTTTGATATGGTATGAAGTTAAGTCAGAGGAGTAGAGAATATGGATAGATGAGAGCATATATAATTTGTAAAACTGGGTTGAAATTAGAAGGTTTTAAAATAACCTTTATATGTATTTCAGTGTTCATGATCCATACAGTATAAGGCTCTGTGAAGAAACAACCACATTTTATGAGATTAAAGCAAGTTACACAGTGGTGGGATTCAAAAACTTTTGCTAACGGTTCTGTGGACGTAGCTTGGTAGGCATGGCAGGGGCAGGACACTGCAAAATCCCCACTCCTGGGGGAAGGTTACTGCAAAATCCCATTCCCTCCCCATCCAACTAACCTGCTTTCGAGGTCCGTTCTCCTGTGCAGGGCAACAAAAGAAGACCCAGCTGATCAGCTGGGACTTGGAAGGCAGAGAATAGATGGGGGCGGGGCCAGTCAGAGGTGGTATTTGCCGGTTCTCCAAACTACTCAAAATTTCCACTACCAGTTCTCCAGAATTGGTCAGAACCTGCTGAGTACCACCTCTGAAGCTACACAACATCATAAATACTGCAAGTAGTAATTATTGACTGATAGCTAAGTGCTACATTCTGTATCAATGCAACAACATACTTATAATTATCAATTATTTGGGGGAAAAGAACCAAAGTGTCTCAGTGACTCATGTTCTCTTTAAGACTTTCTCTGGTCTTCTGGTTGGCCACTGTGAAAACAAGTTACTAGAGTTAAATTGTTCTGATCTAAACCAGCAGGGCTTTTATTCTTAACTGGAATGTCGTACTTCAATAAAAAAAATCCAAATACAGTGGTTTTATATTAATATTAAAGTACCATAAAAGAATTTCATAATCCCCAGAAAGCACTATTTCACTTTTATTAGCTGAAAATGAGTGACAGTCATTCAACTGGGACAAAGTAGACAGTTGTTCTGAGATAAGCTACTGAAATATACTCGGAAACATACTGCCACTTGGGTCAGTTTCAGTTTATTCCACATGTGTCATCATATATAACAGGGATTCCCAACCATTCAAAACCAGGCCACTCAAGTGGTGCGTGAGCATGTGCACATGAAGCTCTACTCGCATGAGCAGCGGTTGTGTGCATTCACACAAATGGAGCTGTGTTGAGCAGTGGTGGGATTCAAATTTTTTTACTACCAGTTCTGTGGGCGTGGTTTGGTGGGCATGACAGGGAAAAGATACTGTAAAATCTCCAGTCAGAGGCGGTATTTGCCAGTTCTCTGAACTACTCAAAATTTCCGCTACCGGTTCTCCAGAACTAGTTAGAACCTGCTGAATACCACCTCTGGTGCTGAGGCATGTGCATACGCCAGCCACTCACATAGATCTATCCCCACTCCCCTTCCCACATTGGAAAGATTGGGGAGCACACATATGTAGCGTTTTTTAAATCACTGAGTTTCATAGATGAAATAACATGCTAATCATTTCCCAGATCCCAAATTGATCAAAACAAATAATCAGTAGCAAAGGGAAATGATGATCATTGCATCATTCTAATTGATTCCCCTGTTCTTTTCTATATCAAGGGTCCTCAAACTTGGCAAGTTTAAGACTTGTGGACTTCAACTCCCAGAATTCCTGAGTTAACATGACTGGAGGAGGAATTCTGGGAGTTGAAGCCCACAAGTCTTAAAGCTGACAAATTTGAAGACCCCTGTTCTACATATATGATTGAACTTTCAGTTACTTTCTCAGCCAGAGCAAACAGAACATTATTGAGAAATAGAACTAAAACATGTACTCTTTCCTTGATTGTAGATTCTGGGTTTGTGTCTGGGTGAGTGAGGGATGACCGAAGATTTGAACTTAATGCATGACTAAAGGGCAATCAAATGTGTCCTTTCCAAAACATCCATGAGCAAAGATTGGTTTTTTAAAAAAATCAAAAGCAAGAACTAAACAATGCAAAACAGAAACAGTTACTTCAAAACTATGAACCATTCATTTCGTTCATGAGATGAATTGCAGATATGGTTCAAGTCCATGGATTGTTGATACCTGAGAAGTTTGACAATGGACATACTTGTTTGTGAACTCTTGTTTATGTATGTATGTATGTATGTATGTATGTATGTATGTATGTATATATATGTATGCATGTATGTAAACATGAATGCATCTGACATTCATCTCCTGGTTGTTCATAGCATTTATCCTGCTTATATAGGGCCCACTTATTTCACATTGCGTTCACCTAGTTGTCACAGTAAAACTATGAATGCATGATGCAATGAAGGGCTTTGTTTTTCAGCCAGCTTGTCACAGAGTCTGACAGTGATTAAGGCTGAGAGAGAGTGACTGGCCCAAAGACCCACAGTTGGCTTCTGTGCCTAAGGGAAGGCCAGAAATGGCTCTCTGTGCACCTAATCCAACAGTTTAACCATTATACCTTACTAGCTCTCACTTAATCTCCTGAGTACATGATCAAAATGTCTTTAAAGTTATGTTCTGTATTCTTCCAATTTCTTTTCTCTTAATGTACTTTGTAGCTGGAGGCTATTTTACATTTACCTATCCATATCTATTATTTATACCTCACAGTTTATAGTAAACAAAGGTGTATCTAGCCTGTACTGTTGTGCTGTTTTCCATCCTAATTTTCACTAGCAAAATATTGGAATGTCAAAAGGTAGAATATGAGCCAGCTGCAAATTCTTTTTCCTCATACCCATGTAAAGAAATGGAGAAAAATGGGAAAATACGTAAATGATCTGCACTAAGCATTGCCAACTCCTGCTTAAAAACCTCTGATTTATGAACTGTACCTACAAATTGTGTAATACAAATGTGGAACTCCAGATATATATTTGCACACTGGGTTTTCAAATGCTTTTCTGACAGTCTCATGCTTTCATCTAACATACTTATGTGAATAATTTGCTGTAATCAAACCCAGATATATAAAATAATGATGATAATAATAATATTCAATAGAGCAGATAGAGAACTGAGGCATCATCATCACAGAAGATGCATGAACACAGTTCAAGATCTGATGGAGACAAAACAAGACTACATAATTTGCAGATCTTTCTCTTTTATTCAGTTTTATAAAGGCAGGAATAAGCAGTTTGGCTATAAGCCAAGCCTCTTTCAGAGGAGTCAAGTTTCATTTTTCACTAGCTTTATTGTTTGTTTGCATTTTTTCCTGGCCATTTTCCTGCCTCCCAGCACATATCCTGGTGTAGCCTAGCCTAAACCAATGTGACTGGAGAATTCTGGGATTTGGAGTCCACATGTCTTAAAGTTGCCAAACTTATTTATAAATAAATAAACCAAAAGAACCAAAAACAAGCTTTCCTTATTTCTACACCTGCATTCTCAAAAGCATTCAAAGTAACAATATGAAGTGTGCCTTAAATCTATGTTCAACATATATGCATCCCCAACTGTCCCCATTTCCTCATTCTACTCCTATTTATTGCTCTAGGTTTAATGAAGAGCCTACTTGAGTAATTGGCATTATGCTCCCTACTCTCAAAGTAAAG